CATGTATTCCAGGCTAGCCTTGAATTCATAGATCCCAGGATAACTATGAACCTCCCAAAGGGCTAACTCTACTTCCCAAGTGCTGGGATTTGCAGGTGTGCACCATCATGCCTGGTGCTGAGAATCAAACCCAGGTCTTTGTGCTGCTAGGCAACCACCCTATCAACTGAGCCACATCCTCAGCCCAATTTTCATAATTACCTTTTGAATAATGTTTAGTACCTAAACAACATTCATGGTTTCCTGAGTCATTGCTTTTCAACATTTCTACTATTTCTATTTTAAAGACTACTTACACCATATGCATGTTCTTATGCATATCTTCAGACATATTCTATTTAAGCCTGTGGATTATACTCCTAGCACAAATTTCAATGTTTGCAGTTACTGGGTCCAAAGAGTCAACTGTCACCAAGAGTATATGCTTGTATCAATTTAACCGCAACTCAGTAACACTGAATAGTCTTCACTGTTATAGGTTATTAGTATAATTGTTGTAAAAGATCGTCTCTCACTCCACGTGTGCATGGATGGTATGCATCCATGTATGTGCAGCAAGAGTCCAGAGGAAGATGTCAGGCATCTTGATCTCTACTCTAATCATTATTACTTTTTAAAAATTTTTATTTTATTTTTAGTTGTGTTTCTGTGTGTGGTTATATATGTGTGAGTTCAATACCTACAGATGCCAGAAGAGGGTGTTGGAGCCTCTGAAGCTGAAGTTACATGTGGTTGTCAGCTGCTAGGAACCAAACCTAGGTCTTCTGAAAGAGCAAAGCACACACTTAACTGCCTAGCTGCCCCTCTAGCTGTCTCTCACTGAACCTGGAGCTATTCTGGCAGCCAGCAAGCCCCAGTGATCCTGCCTCTGCTCTCTCACCACTAATGGGGCTACGTGCACACGTGTAGCCATGTTCAACCTTTGATATGGGGGCTGCGGATTCAAACTCAGCTCCTCATGTGCACAAGGCACTTTTACCCACTGAGCCATTTTCTCTGGTCTCCCACCCTCTATGTCTCACTTTAATGTTCATTTCCCAGGCATCCTCCACCCCCAGAGGGTCGCATGGGTTCTTTCCTCTTTGTTGCTGCCAAGGAATTTTCCAGCCGATGGCTTCAAGTGGCCTGAGAAGCTCTGGATAGGAAAGGCCACTTGACTGGTGACACCTGTGGGCCTTCAGGTTCCAGGATGTTTCTGATAAGAGGATCAACGTGCCTTTTTGATGGTAGCTGCCACTTTGAGACTGCAGGGGAATGGACCTGCAGGTGGAATCTTCCAAAAGTCTGCCTTCCCTCCTGTAACACCTCAATGCTCCTGTGTCATGCAATCTCCACTTCCTCAGGCTGTAGCCCTTCAGTCATTCTGATTAAAGTAACAATTCTGCTTCTGGAGATGCTGGTCGGCTTTATTCCCATGTCCCCTCCACCAATCCTGATCTAACAATGGCAACCTAAAGAATTACCAAAAGTGTTGGTAAGCACTTTTAGGCCCAGGACTTAGTGAAGGGGTTAAACTCTCCCACTCACACAACTGAATTTAGGTTTCAGATTTCTGAGAGAGGCAAACCAGGTGTTTCTGCCACAAAGGACCATTTATCCACAATACCCTTGCATTCAGGGACAAGGAGGGCATAAACACAGGCCTAAGTCAGGTCAGCCTCACAGTGTTTCAGGGACAAATCCAGCAGTCCCTTTGGAGTCACATCCAGACTTGGCCAAGTATGTCCAGAAATGATAAGACTAAACCTCAGCCAATGAAAAGTATACTAGTGTAACTGCTACGTGCTCAACCAATTATACTTGAGATAACTTAACTGTCCCTGAACCTCCCCTTAGCTATGCTGAAAAGGAGCTTGTATACTCCTCATGGTTGTCACCATTCTGTACAGGTGTCAACCCTTGCATGCTGGAATATTAATAAACACTCTTTGCTTTTACATACTGTTTGAGTATGGGGTCTTCCTTCAGCATTTCCCTGAACCCTTACATTAGGAGGATCTCTTTTAGTTCAAGGCCACCAGAGCTACAAAGTGAGACCCTGTCTCAGCCCTACCCCCAAATCATGAGGGCAGGCTTTGAAAGAATCTGAGGTAGAGCAGCATGAGGCAGCAGTGAGTTCAATAAAAAGGACAGTCTCGAGGATTTACTAAAATGGCCAAAGCTCCAAGTCCTGAACATTCTGGTATATGCACCATGTAAATGCTGGCAAATCTAGGGAACCAATCTTTTAAAGCCCACTGTGTCGCCTCTCCAGGCTGTCCATGCTACAAAATGGCTTCAGATATGGCTGGATGGCCCTAAAAAGTGTTCAATGGAGGAGACAGAAGCAGGAGGGCCAGCTAGAATCAGGCATGAGCAGAATCATGCCATACCATCCATACCTCTCAGATCGGTTCCCTGTATTCTGGCTCTGATTATGTATATTTGACTCTGAGAGAGAACACTGCCTGCTGGTTCGATTTCAGATCCGCAGGCTCATTCGTACACACACACACACACACACACACACACACACACACACACACACACACACACGGTGGGGGCGGAGGGCAGAGAACCATATAAAACCTGTGGAAGAGTGGAGACAGATTTTTGCATAGGAGCAGGAGAGAGAAATAAGGAGCTGTCTTAGGGACTAGCTCTCCTCTACACTGGAGCTACCTTCCTGTATTGGTGCTTTCTGCTGTTACAAAAAGATACTTAAGGCTTGATTTTTTTTTAAGTGGTTTATTTAGCACATCATCTGGAGGTTCAGGCAAGTATCACCTACTTCTGCTCATCTCTGGTGGGACCTCAGGGAAGGTATCTCAGAGGAGGGCACCACAACAAGAAGCGGGGGGGGGGGGGGGGGGTTTTGCTCTTTGAGACAGGGTCTCAGCCTAGCTCAGTCTTGCCCTGAATTCTTGCCCACACTAGCTTATCACCCCTCTGCCTCAACCTCCTGAGTGTTGGGGATCACAGATGTGAGCCAGGTTTTTGCTATCCTGAGATAGGTTTTCACTATGTAGCACAGCCTGGCCTCAAACTAGTAACCCTCCTGTCCAAAACTCCCAAATGCTAGGATCACAGGTGTGCAGCACCGCTGTCTGCATTGGTCTTGCTTGTATTTTAACAGGCTGTGCTGGTTGTGTGGTGGTGCACCAGCAGCATCAGCTACTCAGGAGGCTGAGGTAGCAAGACCACTTGAACCCACCCTGGGCAACACTGAGACCTCATCTCAAATCCTAAAGGAAACCAAAGCCATAGTTACCTGGGCCTGCCAGAGCTCACTGTGCAAGACCAGAATAAATGCTTCTTGAAGATGAGGCCCTGAATGACCTCATCATCTCCCACGGGGCCCTTCCCTTCAGAGGTTTCACTTCTTTCAAGAATGCCACAATGGGATTAAACCCATTTAAATGCTAGCACTTGAGCATGCTGTCACCATCTTGGTTTCTGCCATATTGAGAGTAGACAGTGTAGGACTGAGGAGTGTGGAAAAGATGCAGCCCATGGGGTCCAGCCTTTTCACCCTAAGAATTAGGTTGCTGACATGGCCTTTGGGCCCTTAGCATAAAGCAACTGCAGTGACTGAGAGGTGCCCCAGAGAACCTGTGGAGTGTTGTTAGCCAGGATGGAGAGCCATTCATCCAGTAACTATCCATCTGTCCTAGTTAGCTTTGTTAACTTGACACAGCCTAGAGTCATGAGAAGGGAATGCCTCAAATGAGGAACTGCCTAGATCAGATTTCTCTTTCTCTCTCTCTCTCTGTGTTTACTCGCACACGCGTGTCCGTGTCCATGGGGGATTATCTCAACTGTTAATGATGAAAAGAGCAGCCCATTGTGGATGGCACCATCCATGGGCAGGTAGTCTTGGGGTGTGTGTGTGTGTGTGTGTGTGTGTGTGTGTGTGTGTGTGTGTACGAATGAGCCTGCGGATCTGAAATCGAACCAGCAGGCAGTGTTCCTCCATGGCTCCTGCCTCCAGATTCCTGCCTTGAGTTCCTACTCTGACTTCCCTCAAAAATGGATTATGACTTGGAAGTGTAAGCCAAATAAACTCTCTCATGGAGTTGCTTTTGGTCAGAGCATTTTTGTTACATCAACAGAAAAGGAAACTAGTACACCATCCATTTATCAGGCCCTTTCGCATGCTGTCCTAGGTGCTAAAGACCTGAAAGATGTGAAGTCCCTTGTCCTCAAAAGCTCAGCCTGCCGTGCCCAGGGGAAAGACCTGCAGCTGGTAGCAAACTGAGCTCTAGATCACATGCAAAGTCTGAGCAGAAGCCAGTGGTACCCTAGGCTGTCACTCTTCAGCCTGGCCTGGTTCACCCTTCTTTCAGGTGTTCTACAAGGAACAACCAGATGTCAGAGTCCCCTTCCCAAGTGTGGTCTAATCCCTTTCCCCTCAGTTACACTGGTCCCAGGAAGACATCCTTCAAGACTGCCACAGGGAAGATGCAATTCGCAATGAGAAGATAACACAAATAGCCAACTTAGGCTTGGCTCTGACCACAGCTCTCCTCATCCTGCCCTGCTGTGGGTCCCCTGTCCAAGGTTTAAAGGTGAGGAATAAGTTAGCTATTTGGCATCAGGTAGAGTGGGGTGGTTCTCCGCTGTAGGAGAGGGTCGACACACTAGAAACATGTCTGGCGACTTATGTTCTCACTCCCACAGCACACTGGAATTCAGAGACCAAGAAAGACGAATTTTATTTATGTTTATTATTTTATTTATGTTGTTTATTTATGTTGCTCTCTACCAGGCCTCAGGCTCACAATCTCATGCAACCCTACATTCAATCCTCCCCACTTCTCAGCTGATGTAAACAATACTCAGATTCATTTAGGGACTCATTCATAGCCACCAAATTCATTCATGGTGAGGACAGAATTGAGCTGTTTAATTCTACACTGTTCTGACCTTGGGCTATGGATGCAATCATATCAAAAAATTCCCCCAGAATTCATCACAGGGTGGTGCCTATGTGAGCCAGCAGTGCCCTGTTGTCTGGCTTCTCAGGAGCGCCCTGGGTTGAGTGTCGCCCTCCACATCTGTAGTAGAGAGTCCCGGCGGGCGGTGTAGGGTAAATGTTTGATGCGGAACCAGTGTCTGGGGATAATGTTTCCACTTGGTGTGTACAGCTTCTCCCCTTGTCTGCCCAAAAGACTTCGGAGGGCTAGGTTGCGTGACAGTATCTTCTCATAGAATTCCACTCCACCATGGGCATAGGCTGCAGACAGAGAGGCTGTGCGGCGGTCCAGCCAGCCTTCCAGGGCAACAGCCAGGGAGTCCTTGAAAAAGGTGTAGGCCACAAAGCCAGCCACTATTGCCACCAAGTTAAAGGCAACTCGAAAGCCTACGGGGCCTCCATAGAGCCCCAGAGCATGCTTGGCACCCACACTCAGTACCCAGGTTCCTGCAAGGCAAACTGGGACTGGCAGGATCTGTAGGGCAGCCATATTGCTCTCCAGGTATACAACCTCCTTGGCTAAAGCAAACTTCTGAGCATTGTGAGACAGGGTCAGGGCATCTCTCAGCCTAGCGCCTTCTGGGCTTTGCCAGTTGACCCTCTGCCCATGTATGATCAAAGTATGGTTGATGGTGGTCACAGGGCCACCCAGGTAGATGGCAGGGATTCCCACCACAGCCCCAGAAGGAAGTCTTGGGAAGCCACCACTCACAGGCTGAAAAGTAAAGGCAGTGAAAGGCTTGTAGCAATGACCTGAGGGGACACCCATGTCCTGCAGCACCTCCTGGAAGAGGCTCTGTAGCTGAGGGGAAAGAGGAGCTGGCTGGCCCTGAGGCCAGTACTGGTAGAGCCATTCGACTATGGTATTAGAGAAGAGGTGAAATGAGATTTGAACCCCAAACAGGCCCACACAGGAACCTACCAACAGTCCTGTCCTGTGTCTCTGTATAAAGGCTGCAGCTCTCCACAGAGGCCCAGCCATGAGTATTGCCTCTGTGGATAATTTGGTCAAGAATAAGAGAAGTCAGCCAGTGGTTCTGTCAGGTTACAAAATGAACAGTCTCTAGGGCCACATAGTTCTTCACTGAAGTGACACTGTATTGGGATTGAGGGTATGGGCTCCAGAGTCAGACCACCTGGGGGTTTCACAGCATCAGTTCTCTCTCCATCTGCCAGGCAGGTGTGCAGCAACGGCCTCAGCGGCTGCGGTCAATGAATATACAGAAAACATTTCAGTGTCTCACAGTGTAGTAGACATCCTTCTGGCAATGGCTGTAATTATTTTTACTGCCATGGCTAGACACGACACTAAGTACTTCACAGCCCCCCCCCCCACTCCACCCACCACTCATCCCACAGTGAATTTCTAACTGACTTACGAGTGAACTACATGCGCTAGACACAGTTCTGAGAGCATAACGTATACAGCTGTCCCTCAGTGGCTGTAAGGGTTTTGTTCCAGGATTCCTGCAGATATCAAAATCCAAAGATCATTAGCTGCTTTATATATCTGCACGTAGCCTATGCAAATCTCTCATATACTTTAAATTATCTGCAATACAACATAGTACAGCAGATTCTACTAAATGTCTACAAGCTCAGTGGAAATAATTTGTTTTGTATATTTTTAATTCTTGGCTGACTGATTATGTATCAGTGGACACAGAAGGCTAACTGTATTAGGAAATACCTGTACTACTAATGAACAGGGGAATAAATATGTACTACATATATATATCCTTAAGGGATTAGAGTCAAGACCACCCCCAGACTCCAAGACCTTCAAATGTTTGTCTCTTACAAAAACAGCTTAGTATTTGTAATTACCTATATACTATATTCTAATTCACCTCTAATTACTTACAGTACCTATTACAATGCAAATGCTACATACGTCATTGTGACGGTGTATTGTTTAGGAAAATAAAGCCATGTTCAGTACAGATGAAAACTTCCCCAAAACATTTGCAGCTGGTTGACTGGATACAGTCAAAGAAAAATGCTCATATCTCCAGAACCTACAGTTGATTTTCAGCTGTGAAAATAAGATAAAGTTGGGACAGGTTTATTGGCTAAAACCCCAAGTGGCAATGTCATATGCTGAATTGTGTCACCAACCCCAAGTTCCTATGTTTGAGGCCAAAGTTTCATTATTTTAGGATATAGCTGTATTGGAGCTTGGGTCTGTGAGATTGAAACTGAAGGCTCTTGGGATGGTTCCAATTAAATCCCACTGCTTTCATTCTAAGATTAGGACACACACAGAGAAAATACCACATGAGGGTACAGGGCAAAGATGGCCATGTGCAAGCCCAGGAAAAAAGCCTGAGGTTAGCTGAGCCTGGCCATTCCACCATCTTGAATTCCAGCATCTCGAATTAAGGGAAATAAACTCCTGCCAGTCAGGACATGCATTGTGTGGTACTTTGGCGTGTTAACCACTGATAGTACAGGCTCAATAACTGATCACAGGCTGTTAGGGATCCAGAGCAAGCATTTCACCTCAAAAATACTATCTTACATGTACATAAATAAACCCAAACAGCCCTTCAGCCTGACTCATTACCATAGTCAATACTGTTTTGTTGTTTTGAGAGCACTTTTGAACATTCTGGGCATCTTATTTCATCTATGACTATGTCACTAATTATCATTATTTATCTTTGGATAAAACTTCATTGTATCCCTATCTACGAAGAGCGTCTGATAAGCAATGCACTGCTGCAAACAGAACGCAGGGTTCTGCATCATTTAAGTTATTCTTCCCAAGAGGAAACTGAGGCCTAGAAAGGGCGAGGTCCTATGAGTCCCGCAACTGGCCCAGAAGATCTGAGATTCTGGCTTTAGAAGGGTCCCCCACACGGCTCCGCCCTGCCCCACAGGGTTGCTTCCTACAGCCGGAACCCCACAGCACCCGGAAGCTGCGAGTTGCGGGATAACTCCCATGCTCACAGCTCGGCTAGAGAGCTCACCTCTAGAGATCCCTAGGAGAGCCAGACTCCCGCGCCGGACTCGGCAGGCACAAAGCACGATGGTCTAAGGCCTTGGTGGGGCGGGGCCTTGTGACCGGGGCGGGGCTTGGTGGGAGGGGCTTGGGGGCTTCTGGTCCAGCGGAGACTTTCTGGACTCTGAGCTCTCCAGGGCTGTATTCAGGTAGCGGAGGAGCAGCTCAGCGTCTTTATCTTTCCATTCACGAGTCGCAGACCCCATTGGAGCTAAGATAGAGACGTTCTGGTCATCTCGTTCTGATTTCTTTGTCAGCGCAGAATAAGTATTTGTGCAGTACGCTGGGAGGAGAGCCAAGCTTAGGAAGAAAAAGCGAGGCCTGGAAGGTCTGGAATTTGCTACCAATGACCCCTGCATTCCAAAGGTCAGGTGACCTGGTGTAGTGTTGACCAGATTAGGGTTAAGCCAGAAATACGTACCGGAAGGATGCGTGGATAGCAGATGTGCACCCATTTGTGTAAAGACCACAGGTCAACTTGAGATGATGTTTCCCAGGAACCAGCCACCCAGTTTTTGGAGATGGGGTCTCTCACTGTCACTTGGTGTTCAGTAATTAAACTAACCTGCCTTGTCAGTGAGCTCCTGGGATATGCCAGCTTCTGCCTCCCTAGTGCTGGAATTACAAGAATGCACCAAACACCCAGCTTTTTCCGTGGATGCTCAGGATTGAGCTCAGGTCCTTATGCTTTTGTGACAAGCACTTTACCAATTGAGCCATCTCATTAATAGTCTGACGAGTTTTCTAAAACACAGTCCTGAGGGGTGCTTTGGGGTATGAAAATTATACTCAGTATTACTGTTTTAATTGCTGTTATAATACGGTGCTAGGGGGACCTTAGCAGATTCCATGGGGGGAGAGGGACAAACACGACAGAGCAGGGAAGTTTTATTGGAGGAAATAGAAGGGAGTAGGGAAAGAGGGAAGAAGGAAAGGGAATGGGGAGGGAGGGAAGCAGAGAGAGAGAGAGAGAGAGAGAGAGAGAGAGAGAGAGAGAGAGAGAGAGAGAGAGAGAGAGAGAGAGCCTGTCTGCCCCTTCATAGGAACAGTGTGAAAGACAGCAGAAGTAGGTGGAGTTTTCCCTTTGAAGGGACCTTTGCACCTTCGTACAGACTATGTAGTGACAGGTCCTATGTAGCAGCCTTAGGACCATGGTCTGGCCAGGGTACTGCCTGAGTGCATCCTGCCAGGTGACAGGGGGTAGGCCAGCATAATGCCTGAATCCTAACAATCACTATTCTGCAGGTTAGAATAATATGTTTAACAATCCCACATCTTTTAAGCCTAAAAATCTGTTTACAAATATTACCTTAACACATCCAGGGATCTTTGTATAAAGATATTATTCTACTTGGTTTATGGCCAACTTTCAATTAGCCCACAAACCTTACAGATTATCTTCCTCATTTATATCTCACAATTTTTGTCTTTAATTGATCAAATTTCCTGAGCGATCTCAAACCACATTTTGATTGAACTTAGTTGGTTCTTTTTTGTTTGTTTGTTTGTTTGGTTTGGTTTGGTTTTTCAAGACAGGGTTTCTCTGTGAAGTCCTGCCTGACCTGGAACTCACTCTGAAGACCAGGCTGGCCTCAAACTTAGAGACCTGCTTGCCTCTGCCTCCCAAGTGCTGGAATTAAAGGTTTGGGTTACCACCCTCCACTTCAGTACCTCCCCCCATTAGTTGGTTCTTTTAAATACACTAAGCCCCAGGATTAGTCAGGGTTCTCCAGAGAAATAGAACCTAGAGTGTGAGGGTGTGTGTAAAGAGGTTTAATAGAAAGCACTGATTCCATGGGCATGGTGGCATGTGTCTTTAATCCCAGCACTTTCGAGGCAGTGGCAGGCAGATCTCTATGTTTCATACAGTTAAGAAGGCTGAAGATCCAAGCTCTGCTCTCAGTTGCACAACCAAGGCTGTTTATGGCCTAGTACTGGTCAAAATCAGAAGCCCTTAGAGCAAGAGGATCAATTGCAAAAGTTCTGATCTGAGTCTTCCTCCAAAGCCAGGAAAAACACTGATGTCCCAGGCTAGTTGGTTTGATTATTTTTCAGTGTTAAAGGCTAAACTCTTGGGACTCACAGATACTCTCCTAGGGACACCCCTAGCCATGTCCCCAGATTTAAGATGAGTGGCAGATAACTCTTTCTTAGCTCAACTCTTGTTCTGGTCATGTTAGGCAGGAGGTCAGCTGTGGAAGGGACTAATCCACAGCCCACTAACATAGGGCATAAAGAACGATGGATGGCCAATGCAAGGCCCTGAAACTGGGTGTAAAGATAATGGTGGTCAAGGTATCAAGACAATAGTGCTCTCTATTGCATCATTCTAAACAAAGGGGTAAAGTTGATAACCCAATAGCAGCTGTGACTACCTGTGTAGATCGGGTCTGGCAACATTCTATCATAGAGCATAAGGCCTCACTCCTCTCTGAGGATTTACAGGCAAGTTAGTGGTTGCTTCGGAGACAAAGAGACATTTTCTTCAGTAGTATAGCCACTGGAAAGGTGCCCACCCTCCTTTAAATAACCCCCCACCATGCTCCTGTAAGCAGCACTCATGAAATTCATTGTTACACACACAGACATGAAAGAAGAGGAGAAAGTAGGAAGAGGAAGGGGATCAGTGGGAGTGGAAGGGGACAAAAGAGGGTGAATAGAACAATGTGTGTTATGTACATGTGTGAAAATGTAAAGAAACTATTAGAGATTTTAATTAACATATGCAAAAAAACTTTCATAAAAGGTCATATGTTTATTGGGCTGGACCAGGGATGAAGTGTGTTTGTGTGTCTCTTGTTAATCAAACAGATTCGAGAAAGACTACTGACTCAAATCATCTTGGCCAAAGTAATTAAAGCAAGTTTTTTTTATTTTTGTATATTGGTTGTCTCTCCCTAAAGATGGGGTTCAAGAGATTAACCTTAGACATGGGTAAGATAATGTGGGGCTTTTTTTTTGTTTGTTTGCTGTATTTT